GATTAAGTACCGCTTAGCAAATAGAAACCCTGCTGCTGGATTAGACTGCTCCAGATGATGTTAAACTGTGTAACCCTTTATAAACAGAAAGAACCCAGGGGCATAATCTGCACAGCATCCTCATTTATCATGCTTTCCAGGGAATGACTGGATCTTGAGAAAGCTGATTACTTCTCCCCTAATTAAAAATGCTAACATTTTAGGGCTTGTTGCAAGTTGAGACCCAAAGAGCCTTCCTGCTATGTCCAAGAGCCAGCAATGGATGTTAGGATAGTTTTTTTTCTTCTCCTGCTCTCCTACTTGCCAACTAATGATGTCTGGTAATAGTCACTGGTAAATTTTCATTGTTTTAATTTTTTTAATTTCTTGATTTTTCCCCTCTGTGGAGGTCTTACCCAGATACTCTTCCATACTGTTTGTCCCACATTCCTTCCTCTCATGCTTCAATTAAGAACTTCTCCAGTGGCTCCAAGATGCTGTAGGAGCCCCCCCATTCATGCTCTGTGCCCCTCAGTTTTGTCTTTCCCATAAATCCCCAGTGTTGCCACAAGGTCGGTCTTCATATGACAAGGTCTTGGTCATTGGATCCACAAGCTTAAGAGTACTTGTTGGTGTTGAACTGATGGTTCACCGGGTTCTTAATGCTTAGTTTTCAGCCTTTCCTGACTCATCTCTCATAACCTCCAAGCACAGACTTTCAGTGTCTAATCCTTAGAGTCTGCACAACTCCTCATCTGCAGCGCTACCCTCCTCAAGCTCAGTTTTACTGACCAGTGGTCTCCACACAAGCAGCACTTCTTTCTGAGTTCTCCCTCCCACAAGACACTGGGAAAAAGCCTTTCTCCATTTGCTGTGGCCACCCAAGAAATAGCAGACTTTCCAACACTCAATGTTTAAATACCATGTTATCCCCAGTACATTCTTACTGTGTCACGTAGGAAATTGTGTGCTATATTGTCTGTACACTTAGTTTTATACAGTTGTGTATGTGTACAGGTATGTGCATTTAAGTGCAGGTGTGGGTGCACAGGTGTGTGTGTGTGTATGTGAGTGCAAGCCAGAGGTTGACCCTTTGTTTTGTTTTTGTAGGCAGAGTCTCTTTGTGACTTGGAGATAACCAATTTTAGTTTAGTCTGGCTGGCTGGCAAGATCCAGAGGTCTGCCTGTCTCCAGATAGCCAGCGGTGCTACCACGAGAACAAACCGCCATACTAGCCTTTTAGCATGGGTTCTAGGGATTGAACTCAGGTCCTCCCTAGGACCTCTCAAATACCAGGTTAGTACTCTGCCACTGAGTTACATGCCCAGCCCTTACTTTTCCTTTTAATTGTGGACACACACACACACACACACACACACACACACACGTTAGCTTTGCTCTTCTTCCTGGAGATTTCCTTGGCACAAGGGTGTGGGGGGCAGTGACAACTTGCAGGAGCTGATTCTCTCCTTCCACCATGTGAGTATGACTCCCAGGGATCAAACTCAGGTTGTCAGGCTTGGCATCAAGCACCTTTACCCACTGAGCCATCTCTCTAACCCCAGTATTGAGTCTTGTAATCCCTAACTATGAGACATTTTTCTTCAGTATGGATCTTAAGATATAACAATGACACACTTGCTGTTGATAAGATAGTATTTAGAAAACCGCTAAAGCACCCTGACTCAAGCCCCTCCCCTGATTTCTTTAAGAGCAGATAGAAGCAACAGCTAATGCATGTGTCCCACTGTCATTATCTCAAATACTTTCTGTGTATGGTTATCCTCAGTGTGTGCCTATGTCCTTAGTTCACAAAGGCAGAAGCCAAGTCGTGCTTTTAATAACTGTGTCTGCAAAGGCCACCTTATTGCTGCTGTGCGTCAGTGCAGGATCATCTAGCAAAGGTCACTGGGGGAAAGCCTTCTGGGCTGAGTGGCTAGGATAGCCCAGTGATCTGGCCTAACCCACTACACCTGCCTTGTGCCTTTAGAACAGCTGACATCAGTGGGTAAGTCTAAATTTAAAGCTGGAAATAATCCTTCTCACCACCACCCCCTACCCCCCAACCTTCCAGGACCATCTCCTGGCTCCTCTTTCTCATCTCTGCATTCTTTATTTAGTGTGTGTTCCATAATTCTCACTGCCAAAGAAGGAGCGTGCCATGCAGAGAAACACACCGTTTGAACTCTACTTAAGATCCGCCCCGGAATGTAGAACTCGTGTAAATGTGAGACTGCAAATGAGGACTTTGACAGTGATGAATGTCGGGTGTAAAGTAGAGCTAATCCACAATACTGATCTCATAGAGACATATTTCATAAACTTCCAGACCATTTGTGGGAGCTGGACCTTCACGAGAACCCCTTTGTACAGGGATCAACGACAAGGTCGCTGGAGTTGATATAGTTACTGAAAGGAATGGGCATACCTGGGGCAGGTCTGCTTAGTCATGCCTGAAAATATAGCAGTATTTCAGAAAGCCCCTTGGCACTTTCAAGGTGTCTTGGAAACTAATTAGGAATAGTAACATAAATCAGAATACTGGGAGGAAGAAATGAATGGAAATAATGCGTATTCTTGCAGGTGAACTTTATGGTAGAAAACTGTTTGAAGGGCATTGGGAGGCGGCTCAGTGGGTAAGAAAGCTTGATGAATAATCATGAGTTCAAATCAGGTGTGGCCATGCACACCTGTGTCTCCAGTGCTGTGCGGGTGGAGACAGGAGGATTGGTGGGGCTTGCTGGCTCACTCCAGGTTCAGTGAGACACCCTGCCTCAAGAAAATTTTACCTTGGGATTCTCAGCCCACCCTTTGAGAGTCCATCTGGTCTACAGCTGAAAATGAACCAAGACATCCATCAGTCTTCCTAGAACCCAGTTCAGGGACATCTACACTCTGCATACTAGAGGGCTGTCCCAGGGCATTCTTAGAAAGGAAGAAGGTTCAGTTTCATCTCTCTTTTCATGCTGGAGATTGAACCCAGGCCTTGAAAGGCAAGGGCCCTGGTCCTGAGCACTAAGCCACACCCCCAGACAAGGGTGCCACCTCCTTACTGACAGCTGGAGTCATTGGCCTCATTTAACTGCACTTGATTCAACATTAACTGAGACAAGCATGGTATTCATGGAGCCACCCTTGTCTCAAGGGAGCACAGGAACAGGTCTTTGCACTGTGACATCTATGAAAAGTGGATCCATACCAGTGCTCATCATGTGAGTGTCCATTGGACTCGGCTCCTTAGTGAGTTAGGGTTTAGAGAAAGAAACAAGGAGCAGAAAAGAATGAAAGGGAAGACTTTGCAAATTGCAGAGCAAGTTGTACTTCCTGTTCAGCAGGTTTGATATAAGCACGCTTTACAAAGCTCCACATCCTTTACCATGATGGCACAAAGACTGAGACTCCAAAAGCAGATCAGAGTGTAGCTCAGGGCCAGGCCTGTGGTAGACCCCAAGTCTGTGCCCGGTGAATGAATACACGAGGAAATGAGTACACTCAAGTGTGCAGGGTTAAAGAAGTGAGACTATTAGTGGTGAAGATAGTCACCATTGTTGATTTTAAGAAGTGCCATGAAATTTTTATGAATGTGTGTATATGTGTGTCCATGCACAAGTGTTCATGGGTGTGCACATGGGTATATTCATGCATGCATGCAAGCATGTGTGTTCATGTGAGTGTGTGTGTGTGTGTGTGTGTGTGTGTGTGTGCCTGTGCACGAGTGCATTCAATCGTGCATGTAGGCCAGAGGACAACTTTGGCTATCATGCTTAGGAAGCCATTCATCTAATTAGCCTGATGCTCACTTGAAGTTCATTGGCCAGCAAGCCCAGGATCCTCCTGGCTGTCTCTGTAGTGCCAGATTACAGGCACACACTGCCATTCCTGGCATTTTCACATGCATACTGGGGACGGACCTCAATCTCATGCTGACAGGGCAAGCACCGTAGCAACTAGACCCCTTGACCCACAATGAAAAATAAGGGAACCTCTTGACTAAGTCAGGACACCTTAAAGGAAATTTTAGCAAAGTGAAAACTAAAGCCATGCATTCATCTCACAGATGACTTATGTGAGTATTCACAGGAAGCAGAGAAAAAGAAAGGGGAAAATAGAACCTGTGGCTAGCCACACATTCAAACAGTTGAGGGATTCCTTATAACACTGACTACCTTTTTCCGGATAGATGTTTGATTTGGGGATAGCTCAGCGGTATCATTGCCTCCATTTTAACTCCTTAAGCTACCAAGGTACATCTGTCAAGACTGAAAGCTACCCTTACTCCCTAACTGCTTTGTTTCTGTCCCTGGATCCAGTTCCCCTGAATCATTTCATCTCTGTAGTCTGCTCAGGTTTTCAGCCATTTCTGTTTATTATGGTTTTGATGTTTTGGAAGAATGTGGTGGATGTGTTGCAGACTATCCCTAGTGATGGGTTCTCAGGCATTTTCTAGAAACCATACCGGGGCAATGGCTTCCAGTTAAGAAAACCACAGAGGAGAAGTACCTTCAGCATGATTTTAGAGGGTGCATGAGGTTACCATGGATATTAACATTGATCTGCCTTTAACTGCAGTCCCCTCTGTACACAACTGCCTTGAGGGTTTCAGAGGTACTAAAGGAACATTGAGAGATGTCTTTCTGGACCTCACTGAGACTCTGTGCCCATTAGGAGTTTGTTTGGCTTTCTGACCAAAGAGGGAAGAAAGGTTTTAAGAGGTTTTCTGAGGGCTTGGGGGTAAGGAAACTAAAAAAGCTGAAATGCTAAATTAGATATAGAAAAAGAACAAGATGGCAGTCAAAAGTAGACCGCCAAATTAAGCAGGGCCAAAGTTTGTGACTAAAATAGCAAATGTCAAAATGGAAAAGCCGCGGTCAAAAGCTGAAGTTTAAAAATAAAAAAAGAGGGAGAGAGTTTCCAACTTTAAAAATTTTGCAAAAGTAAAGGAAATTTAAGTGGTTCAAGTTTACATAGGAATAGAAACAGAGATGGAAAAGTACATTTCTAATAGGTAAAGCCATTTTTTAATGAAATGCCAAATAACACAGTTATCTGATCTTGTAAAAGGAAAGTGCTATAATTTAGGAAGCACAAACAGCTTTTTGGCAGCCCATAGGTGATTAATAGCTATTAGCTCTGGCTTAATGAGGAGGTTGAAGGAGCATCCAGAGGACTAGAACGCAGGCCTGTTTTCTTTGTATAATCAGGAGGGTCAGATGTTTGTTTGGTTTTGAGGAACATACAGCAACAGAATTCAAAAAAAGCTTAAGAAATCTTTAAAAAATAGCAGGTCAGCAAAATGGTGTTTTTGTTTGTTTATTCTGAGGGGCAAAGTGCAAGGAAAATGTTTGTTGAATGTGGCCCATGCCCACAGTGTCATAGCGAATGTTTTCTTTTGTTTGGGAGAAGTCACTGTGACCTTGTCTGTTCAGGCATGGTGTCAAGGGTTGGTTTCTGCCCACCAGAATTCATGGTACAGTTAAATCTAGTTCTCGATTCACTCCCATTTGTGACTTTATTGATTTATGTCTTGGGAACCAAATCTCTTGTAAGCACATTTAATTGTTATTGCTGTTGTTTGCTTGCTTTCTGAGACAAGGTCTCGCGTAGCCCAGACTGGCCCAGATCTCCTTATGTAGCTATGGATGTTCTTGAATTTCTGACCTCCTGCTTGTATCTTTCAAGTGCTGAGATTATAGGTGTGAGTCACCCACTCTGTGTGGTGCTGGGAATTGAACTCAGGGCTGTGTGAATGCTAGGCAAGCATTCTCCCTCCTGAACCCCATCCTCAACTCTGCAGACAAGTTTTTATTTACAGTTTTCTTTTCCTCTCTGTAGTCCAGGTGGTGGCCATGTGTTTTGAAATGGCATCTCTGTTGGGATGAATGATGGTTTGTGTGCTCCTTCTGAAGCCTTCAGGAGCATCCTCCCATCCACATGCCTCTGCTGCAGTGGGACCTTCCGACCTCCTCTAGAAGGTGCAGCCTGTGCTGTTCCATCTCGGATTGTGATGCTGATTAGTTAACAAACAAAGGAGAGAGGGTGTGTATATATCTCAGCAAACCATGCAAATTAGGCTGACTCATGCATACTTCCTAGACTGTGGGAGGTAGAATATGAGCACTGAATTGTTATCTTCAACAGGAACACACACACACACACACAGGGGTGGGGAGGGAGGGATGCCTTGAGCGCCCTCTAACTTGATGGGTCTGCTGCTGGCTGGGCTTCCCATTTGAACTTTTAATGGAGAGCTCACCAGATCATAACTCCACATCCTCAGCTTTCCTAATAGTCATAGGCCAGTATACATCCTCTGTCTGGATGTTTTAATAGCCCCTGAGGCAGACTCTAGACATCACCTTCTACTTGGGGTAAAATTCATTCCTTTGGTTGTCCTTTACAGAGCACTCTCTCAGATCAATAGAGCACATGGCTTTGGAGGGATGTACTGAAAGACTTGCACTTAACCATGTAGTTCCCTGCCAGTCACAAAGCAAAGTCTGGGTCAGGGTCACTATCTTCTCTATCCTCCCAGACTTTAAAAGAAAAGGGCTGAGGGGTTGGAGACATGGCTCAGCAGTTAAGAGCACTGACTGCTCTTCCAGAGGTCCTGGGTTCAATTCCCAGCACCCATGTGGCAGTTCACAATTGTCTGTAACTCCAGAATCCACCACCCTCACACAGAAAAATCGCCAATGCAGGCAAATACCAATGTGCACAAAATAAAAATAAACTATATAAAAAAAAGAAAAGACTGAGCAGTAATAACTTAGTATTAATGGCTATTCTTAGCAGCCATTTCATTTATTTCACCTAGAACATAATCAGGTGCTTGGGCCTGGGGGGAGGGACCTGAGGGGGAGGGGTCTGAGGGAATCCCTTCCATTCATTGCAGCGGGGAACTTCAGGGGAGCTGCTAGCAGTTGGTCCACATGCCAAAGATCCCCCCCCCCCCCCCCGTTCTGATGGTCACATGGCCAGACCCCTTCCCACCCAGCCCTGCCCTACTGCCCCTCCCAAATCCCTAGAGGACAAGGACAAGCCACAGCTCTGGGAAAGGAGGTTGGTGATCTGTGAAAGGGGCTGCTGGAAACCTAAAGCAGGTCATTTGAATGTCTGCTCTCGGAAAAAAAAAAAAGAAGGAAAGAAAGTCTGCTCTCTGCACCTTGCTGATGAAGCAAAGGGGTAAACCAGAGATTTTCCCTTTCTCTTCTGAGTAGAAGAATGGATGACACATTTTCAATGTAGAATCTGTAAAGCACAAAAAGCCATTGTGCATGTAATTTGTAAATATTACAACTACAATTCTAGATCCTGTTATATTTGTGTGAAGCAATCCATCAATGAACAAAACACATCATTGTGTCTGGACTAGTTATTTTTCTGTGGCTACAATAAAACATTATGGCCAAAAGGAGCCAAGAGGAGAGCAGTTTGTTTTAGCTTACAGCTCTAGAGGGACGTAGTCCATCCACGTGGTGGGAGCATGAGGCTGGCCTGGTGGTCAGGAGGTAGAGCAGTCACACTTCAGCTGCACACAGGAAGCAGAGAGAGAGAAGAGGAAGTGAGTCCAGGGTATAGGGTTTCAAAGCCCACCCCCAGTGACCTACTTTCTCTAGCAAGCTCCACCTCCTCGGGGTTCCATAACCTCCACAACCAGCACCACCAGCTGGGGACCAAGTGTTCAAGTACAGGATCCTATAGGAGATGTTTCTCAGTCAAACTGGAAAAAAAATGTCATTTGAGAAAAGCTTTTGAATGAGTGTGTGGGGATGACCCGTGTATGTGAATCTTTACATGTTGCATGTAGTAGTGTGTTGACATTGAGTGTCTTCCTTGATTGCTCTATACTTAATATATTAAGGTATGTTATCTTGGTTGAACCCAGGGTTTTCTGATTCAGCTACTCTAGCTAGCCAGCTTATTCTGGGGATCCTCCATCTCCACCTCTGAACACTGATATTACAAGCAGGCTGTCACGTTGTCACTCAGTAGTTATGCAGGTGCTAAGAACCCAAACTCTGGTCCTCATGCCTGCCCTGGCAAGCACTTCACCTCTGAGCTGCCTCCTCAACCCCAATATAATGTTTAAATTATAAATATGTATAGTTACATGGTTTTGCCTGCATGTGTGTCTATGTACTGTATGCATATGTAGTGTCCAGGGAGGCCAGAAACGGGGTATCAGATTGCCGGGAACTGGAGTTACAAATAGTTTTGAGCCACCATGTGAGTGCTGGGAATCAAACTTGGGTCCTCTGGAAGAGCAACCCTTCTCTTAACTACTGAGTCATCTGCCAGCCTCCCAATATAATTTTAAAGCTTAATTTTTAAAATTATGTGTGTAGTCAGGGGCTGGCATGTGCACATGTGAGTGCCAAGGCCACTAAGTCTGGAAGATGTGGGATCCCCTGGAGCTGGAGTCACAGGCAGTTGTGAGCTGCTCACATGGGCCATTTTCAAGAGCAGCACGCACTCTTAGACACTGAGCCACCTCAACAGCACACCTCCCCCACCCTACCTTATCAGTATTAACAGCTTCCTAAATAGCATTCTAGAAGAAACATTTGGAATTCTTTGAGTGGTGATGCTGGAAGCAACAAGGGAGCCCCCCATTTTTTTATAAAGGGAAGCCTTTTCTAGAGTGATGAGAGCTAGCATCTGTGGAGCGTGATATGATCCTATCATTTCTGTGTTGGGAGACAGTTCTCCATGGTGGCTCATGCTGACAGCTTGCTGGGATGCCGAGGTTATGAGTCATGGCTACTGCTTACTTGAGCCACTCTCCAAGGTTGTGTTTGGAGTGAGCCATCTTTAGAGATATGGTTTATTTCTAGGGTGATTTATGATTTATTTATGTGTGTACATGTGTCTGTGAGATATGGACGAATGCATAAGAACACAGACTCCAGAAAAATAATGTTGGCTGTCCTACTCGATCATTCTCTGCCAGTCCTTTGAGGCAGGGTCTCTCTCTGAGCCCGAAACTCACATTTTCTCAACTAGGCTGGAAGTTAGCGAGCCCCAGTAATCTCCCTCCACCTTAGAGCTGGGGTTGCAGGTGTGCGTATGATGCCTGGCTCATTACATGAGTGCTGAGATCTGAGCTCCAGTCCTCATGACTGCACAACAAGAGCTCATAACTGCTGATTCACTTTCTAGATCCAAGGCTGATTCATTGATTGCTGTAAAAGCATTACATCTCCAGGTTCTGTTTCTGCTGAAGTGCCAACATGCTGCGCAGACAGCCTGGAGTGTCCAGGCTGAAGCCTGTGGACCACATGTGTCCCAGGATAGCTGTGAATGCCACCCAACACAAACTCATAAACTTACAACAATATGGAAAGAATTCGTAATTTGATGGTGTGTTTCTCACACGTGAACTTTGTAGATGGCAGCATAGTGTCATGATGCCAGAAGGTTGGGCATGGAGCTGAAGAAATGACTCAAGTCTGTAAGGTGCTTGCTGCATAAACATGAGATCCTGAATTTGATCCCCAGAACAACATAAAAAAGCTGGGTGTGGTAGCCGGTTCCTATAATCCCAGCACTGGGGAAGCAAAGACAATGGGATCCCTTGGCCTTGCTGGCCAGCAGTGCAGCCAGACCACTGATCACAGGTTCAGTGTGTAGCATGAATAATAAAAGCCCAGATTGGGGTTTAAGGTGAAGATCAGAAAAGCAAAACAGCCACTAGCTCTTACCTCTACTCAGACTGAAGGGGGATCATCATGTCCTCTGATTGCATCTCCAAGTTGTACGGCTCCTAAGACTGCCTAGACTGCCTTGAGTTCCTGTCTCCTCCCACCTTATATTCCTCTCTCACCCAGCCATGTCACTCCTGTTTCCACTCCCTAGTGCTGGGATTAAAGGAAGTGATCCCAAGGGCTAGGATCAAAGGTGTGAGCTGTTTCTCTTTTAGACTGATTCACTTTCATGTAGCACAGGATAGCCTTGAACTCACAGAGATCCATCTGCCTCTGTCTTCTGAGTGCTGGGATTAAAGGTGTGTACCACCACTGCCTGGCCTCTACAACTGTGGCTAGCTTTGCATTCTAATCTCCAGGCAAGTTTTATTAGATCATAAACAATAAATCACCACATCAGTGAGAGATCTTGCTTCAAAAAAAAAAAAAAGATCAAAGTTAATTGAGGAACACATCCAGTGTTGACCTGTGGCCACCACATGAACATACACACACACACACACACACACACACACACACACACACACGGGTCATACTGGTATACTTTTCCACTTTAACTCAATGGACTTGGGACAAAAGTGATGAGAACAAATGTGAGTGCCCATTCTGCCTGTTTAGCCATATGGAAGGAAGACCTTTCATCTTGTTCAGTCATCTCAGATCTGTATCTGTGAAACCTCACCAAATTGGCCAAGCTAGTATTTGGGATAAATTCAACCCCTGTACCAAATACTTAGTGCATGCTAGTTATACAGTGACCCTTGGGTAGCAAGTCCATCAAGGTTTTAGGAGAAAAAGCACTCCCATAACTTTATACAAGTAGTACTAGAACCTAACCTGGTCTTTTAGACCTCAAAGCCTCCAAGTTTTATCAGTTGTTTTTCCCCATTAGATCCTCTAGTAACTAGAAAATACTTGGTGCGAAATGAATTGAGATGAGCTTTTCAATAAGGAAAGTCACTGACCTCAGTTACAGGTCAGGACTACCATCTGTGACTTATTTGGAGGTCCCATCCATCAGGCCACACAACTGACTCATTCAGATTGAATGAAAACATCTACGTTGGTTATTGTGATGTTTTATTGGCTTTAAAAAGAATTTTTTCTCCAGTAATATTTTTAAAAATAAAACAAATACAGTAGGAATCATTCTACTACACACTGGCAGAAAGTATAAGTTCTCTGAACTGGGGTAAAGAAGGGGTCCTGAATAGCCCTAGGGACACATGATGCTACTGTACAAGCATAAGAGGCTTTTTATTGATTAAAAACAGAGCACTGCCCACTGATGTAAAATCACTTTGTTGGAACACCCAGCGAGCAGCCTGCTCACAGGACTCAGCACAGTATCTAATGTCTAGAAAACACTCAGCATAATTATGACTTGGGATTGGTAACCATTTCTCCCAGTGAATGAGAGTTGCCTGGGCATCCTTTTGTCTATTCCACGGGCTCTACTGGGTGTCTATTAAAAGGACAGACACTGCACTAGGCACAAAAGACACAACAGTGGATGAGGCAAATCTGCTGCTCTCATCCAGGGTAAACAGATAATAGACAAGTACACAAACAGCAAATATTGGTGACAAGAGCTCAAAGGATGTCTAAGGAGCTGGGCGGACGGCTCAGTGAGTAGAAACTTGCTATACATGGTTGACAACCTGAGTTCAGCCCCTGGAATTCACGTAAAAGAACAGCAGGTACCATGGTGTGTATCTGTAACTTCAGCACTCTGCTAGTGAGATGGGAGGTGGGAAAGGAGACTCTGCTGGAAGCTAGCTGGCCAGGACATGGCGCAGCAGTAGAATACAAGACAGACCCTGCTTCAAAATAAGATAAAAGAAACTGACTCCTGAAAGTTGTCCTCTGACTATGCATGTGCCACGCATGGCACATACATGTCCGCTGCACATACAATTAATGTTTTAAAATGTATAAAGAACATTTAATTAGGGACAGGGAAGGTTGCTTAGTGGGTAAGGCCATATGTGTAAACATGAGGACCTGGGTTCAAATTCACAGCTCCTGTGTAAAATGTCATGTGTGACACCGGGCAGTGGTGACACATGTCTTTAATCCCAGCACTTAGGAGGCAGAGGCATGCAGATCTCTGTGAGTTCGAGACCTGGTCTACAGAGTGAGTTCCAGGACAGCCAGGGTTGTTACACAGAGAAACCCTATCTCAAACAACAAACAAAATGTCATGTGTAACTACAAAGTAATGTGGGACCCTAGTGCCAGAGGGCGCGGGGTGGAGACAGAAGGATTTTTGTGGCTCTCTGACTGCCCGCCTAGCCCCAGGTTCTGTGAAAAAACATCTCATCAGGGGTATAAGATAGAAAGTGATAGAGGAGGACACCCAAGGCCCCCCTTTGCCCTATAGATGTGTACACCAATGCAGTCACACATGCATACGTACTTGCACATATGCCACGCCTGTGCAACACACACACACACACACACATACACACACCCGTGTGCAGTAAAAGAAGCTGGAAGGGGACATCTTGAAGGAGCTGATTTAGATTATGTGGTCAGGGTGGACCTCACACAGGCATGGTATGTGCTGAGGACCCGAATTAAGGAAGGGAGCAAGCACCAGAGACGCCATCACACTCCCTGGATCTAGTGCAAGCATGAGACTGAACGAAAAGGAACCGGGTTTGTTTGAAGCCGGCCTTATTTTTCTCTTGGACCAAGGACTGTTACTTAAGGTCAGTACCATCACCTCTGGAGAATCAATAAGAAAAGCTCTGGGATTTAGCATACACGCCCACAAAGTTGGTGTGGGGATTGTATTCAGTGAGTGTTTGCTAAGGACCTT